AAGAAGGAAGAATTACCTACTATTCCAGAATAGACACTAAAAGTAACAAACTTAGCAGAGGTGGCTAAAATATCAGCATATCTTAAGGACCATTCAGATGAGAAATATAAGCTGGAATGGAGAAGATGGATTGATTATATTCAGAATAAATATGGGACTAAGAAATTCCAGATAGCTTATGAGTGAATGAGCAAGGAAGGATACAATTTGCTTAAAGCAAGCTGCACAAAAGGGGAGTTAAAGTACAAGTGAGGGATGATGCTAAAGTCAGTTAGCTTATTTTAGAATATGGATGTTAATGTTTATACCCTGTATTTCCTCTGGGAGGTTGGGGTGGGTTGGTGGGGGAGTTGGGCTTGGTGGGGGAAGGGAGGCATATATTTGTAAAACTGTTTTCTTTAAAATTTTCAATAAAAAAACTGCTCAAAATAAATCACTTGTAACAAGCTTGCAATCAGCCAGAAGTTTCTCTTTGCCTCCTACTTTTCCAAATTCTGATTTATGGCAGTTGGATAATTAAAACTTCCCGCACAGTCAAGGTTAAGTTATCCGTTATCAGTGAGAAGACTTGCTTTTTTCTTGATTATATTAGCTGGAAGGAATTCAAACAAAGTAAAAGTAAACCCTTCGGGATATTGGTTTCTATTTCAAATCCAAAACCAAATTTAGAGTTTATAATTGAATGGGTTTGTCACTTCTCTGCTTTCTATCCTTCTGTCAGAAAACATTTCAAACAAAGAGCTTCTGGGGTGGGGGGGGCTGGTGTTACAACACTTCCTTTCTTCCTTTTCTTTTGGAAAAAGAAAGCCGCGATCTGACCATCCATATTATTTATGTTTTCAGGATTTCTTTGCCTTTTCCAGGTTTAATTTATGGCTGTGGGTTAGATAAATTTTCCTACCCGGTCTTTCATCTCTTCCACTCCCCTCCTGTTCCATTTGCTTTGACAAAAAGCCAGCATCTTGTCAGCCATGTTGAAGGCTGCTGCCCCGACTCCAATTCATAGGCAAATCTCTGACCTACGAGCGACCTGTTTCTTCCCTCTAGTCTGATGAGACGCTGCCCTTCTTTGTCCCTGTCTCCAGTGGGGGTTGTGATCCAAAGGATCTCAGAGATGGTTTGTCAGACAGGGTTCATGTGAGACTCTTAAGAGTCTACATCCCCACATGTCTGTCCAGCTTGAGAATTTCCTGTTGAATCGAGTATTTGAGTTGTTAATTATTGCTATCATCTAGATTTTTTTTAGTAAACATACTGGATGGAATTTGGAAAGAGTTTTATTAATTGGCAGCTGCCAAGAATACAATAATATAGCTTCCTCCAAATAACTGCATTGATTATATATTTGATAATTATTTTAAGATTTTTTTTCTTGATGTTTCAAAGCAACCAGGCTTAAGAATTGTATATGCATTTAATGGATTGTGGGTAATCCTCAATTTATAACAGTTTGCTTAGTGACCATTCGAAGTTACAACGGAAAAAGTGACTTATGACCATTTGACTGTTGCAACAGCCCCATGGTCACATGATTTACCTGTCAGCATTCTGAGTAACATATCCAAAGAAATCGGAACTCTGAGACAGGGACATTGCTCAAAGAACATGTTCATTGGATACATTATATCGGCACAGCCAATGAAAACCAACTCCCCCAAAATCCCCATGGTTACAGTGTAATTATAAGAGTGAAAGTTTCCCTCCCCAAATGTCTCAGGTCACATTGTCCAATAGAAGTGGTTGGCAGGCTCCTTGGTCACTCCTGTTCCTCCTTAATGGCCACCTGTTTGGATGACCTTGGTTTTCAAGGCAGAGCTCTTTATTATGTCTGTGAGACAGTTTAGTTATTTCTCCCTCTTCCCTTAGTATGTGGCAACTATGAGTGAAGCAAAAGATGGCTTCAGCCAGGTTCAATTCAGAGTTGACGATGCAACATGCCAGAGCCTAGATCAAGGCTTGCTGAACTGCATCAAGTACTTCATCAATCACTTCTTCTACAAGTTTGGCTTTGAAATTTGCTTTCTAGTGATGTTCTAATGATGTTTGGATACTTGACAATTGATTCACATTTATTAAGGTTGCAGTGCTCTGGGGTCATATGACCCCTTTTTGCTATCTTTTGCCAAGCAAAGTCAATGGGCAAACCAGATTAACTTAACAACCATGTTTGTGATTCAACTGCAGTGATTCACTTAACAAATTTGGCAAGAAAAGTAATAAAATGGGGCAAAACTCACTTTACAAATTTCTTACTTAGCAACCTAAATTTTGGGCTCAATTGTGGTTGTAAGTTGAAGACTACCTGTATTTACCAGTGGGTGCAGTGGTTAATGTTATAAGACTTTTGTCTTGTTTAATGCCATTTACTAACTACCCATCATAGTTATGTGTAATCTACTTCATTCTTAAAACCTAGACTGCAACTATTTATTTTGGCATATAAAATTGAGATTTGGCTTTAATTTATTTTAGGTATGGTGTTTGTATTTTACACTTGCTAACTGTTCTGAGATATTTTAAATCAAAAAGTGGGTTATACATGAAATAGATTACCCATTTTAAATTTCCAAATATGCAGGAGCAAAAAATTTGGTGTCAGTGTCCATAATTATTGCACAAAAGTATATTACATAAATAAAAACCAGAAGAAATCTATCTATAAGGGCTGTTGATGTCCTTTTTCCCCATGCTATGTTAACATTTCTCTTATATATTACAATAAGATAGCTAAGCCAATTTTCTTACGCAAAATTTGTTGAAAAGAGACAATAGGATAAGTTCATATGTCCTGCTAATCTATGAATGGCTATACATGATTTATAAATAGTTTAGAAACTGTACAAACATTGTGTATTGGTTTAGGCGATGTATTAAGCCCAAAGTAAGTAAATCATATTATAGTTTAATGCAATACATGAATCATTCATTGGGAAGTTCTGCCACCTTTGTCATGTTGGAGAGGAGTTTTACAAGAGGGGAAAAACAACCAATTTTATGTTCCATTGGCTATGTGGTTGGATTACTCATTAATGACTTGCACCTTAGGCTTCAGCAAAAACAAATGTTTTTTCCTAACGTCTAAGGAAAAAGTATGAGATGCTGATCTATAAAACTATTCATTTTACATAAAATATATTAACTCTAGCACCTCTTACTACATACATTTTATAGGAATTGAACAAACTTTTGTATATCTCAACATACAGTATATAATTTTTTGTAACTAGTATTTCATAGTCATCCATTCTATAATCAGGAATAATGAGAAACTATAATTAAGCTCTATATTACTGCTTATCCCTTATATTTCCAAGAGCTGCCCACCTGCTGATGTTAATTTAAGAACAGAAGTATTTTTTAAGAGAACTAAACATTTCATTTCTTATTTTCCTTACTTCACATTGTTCTAGCTTAATCAAAAACAGTTAAATATTCTCTTAGGCAATACAGTCTGTAGGCTTTGTTATTTTCTAAACCTGATTCCTGGTTTTCAAAGAGATTATATAAACATATATTCAAAGGTATGCGTATCATTGTAGCTAATAACAGGAAATAGTGCGTAAACCATGTCATTGTCAATTAAAAAAAAACTTCTTTAGGCCTTCTTAATCCGTTCTTACCTAGAAAATGGCCAAGTTAACAACTGAGAAAAATACAGATAAGAAATAAGGATGCCCACAATTCAATGTGATTTGGAATAAGTTCTTCAGAATCTATATGAACATCAATATAGCATCAGTCATTCACTAAAACTGTCCAACATTTTAGGCTTTTATGGCAGCGTGATGAAATCTTATGATTGGATTAGATATTTAACATGGTTCTTAAGGCAGAAGCTAACTTTTTCTTTAGACACACACACAAAAAGATAAAAAATGATGGACTGCTTTAATAAATAGAAGAGAGATGCTGAGAACTTTAGAATAGAATAAAATAGAATAACTTTATTGTCACAGAGAATCTGACCTAAAGACATTGCTTCTGACAGTCCATCACTCTCTTGTAACACATAATTTCATTTTTTTCCTACAAGACATCAGCAAAAAGCCATCTCAATTGAGGATTAACAGCATATTAACTCTCAATCTCTGTACTTTGATTTATATACATAATTGCAATCCCACTTATTAATATACCATGAATATTATACCAGAAGTATATTGTTTGGCAGGTGTTATCAATTGTAATAATTTTTTATTGTGCCAATGTTGGTAAGTTAATAATTACACATGTGTGTTTCAGTGAACTACTCAGATAGCAGACCGAAATGATGATAAAGGCAAAAGATAATAATAAAGTAACCAGAAGTTATGTAGGCATAAAATGATAATAATTTCGGTAACTAAACTGGACCTTACGTACAGTCCAACCTATAGTTTTTACCTCTATCTGATTTGAGTGAATGAAGACATATATAGAAGAAGCTGCATATGTGCCTATATTTCTCTCATTTTTCAAACACAAACACCATCATTGTTGTTGGGTGTTTTTGATAAAAATACAACTAGCAGTAAATAATTCCTCTGGTAAATTCCAAATAACCCTTCCACATTAGTTGCCAAGACTCAATATGTCTGTCCATCTGTTCATCCATCTGCCTTAGTAATCTAAATGGTAAGAAAAACAATTTATGACGTGACCCTAATGCAGGGATCAGCAACCTGCAGCTCTGGAGCAGCATGTGGCTCTTTCATCCCTCTGCTGCAGCTCCCTGTTGCTGCACCACAATTGACAGGGCTAACGCTATCCCTAACCCTTTCCCTTTTTGGTAGAGGAAAAAGGATGCCACGCTAGAAGAAGACTCTATGGTGGGGGAACCAGACTTCCAGTCACCAGAGGAAAAAGGATACTGTGCTAGGACACTTTATGATGGACTTCCAATTGGCTCTAGAATTGAAGGGGGGGGCCTTCCGTTTAGGACCTTTGTGGTTCTTTGAGTGTTTAAAGTTGCCGACCCCCTGCCCTAGTGGACATACCTTTTCACTGTTCAAGCATCTTACCTTGTAAACTATATATTTCTCCCACGCTGTTCTGCCGAGTGATGTGATGCCAGTATGCACTACGAGGAAGTGAGATTGACTTAGGTAATGTCATTGGTTCAGTCAAACTGGTCTGAAGCTGCAAAGATAAAGTAAATACACCATAGCATGTTTTTCAGTAATTTGCTGTATGTGTTTCAGGATAACATTATCACAATCAATTTGTTAAACTGATATACTTAACTCACAATCAATTATATTTTATTGTGTCCACTAATGCTGAAAAAAGTTTGATGAAAATCAACAAATCAATACCTTGTTCCTTACATTTTCAAAAAAAAAAAAAAGCCAATTTGCTATAGTGGTTAAGGTTTTGGCTTAGAAAGCTGGAGACTGTGAGTTCTAGGCCTTCTTTAGGCATGAGAAGCTGGTTAGTGAGTTTGAGCCAGTCACAGTCTCAGCCCTACCTATGTCACTTTGTTGTTATTATGAGGTAAATAGAAGGCAAGAATATTAGGTATTTTCGCTGCCTTGAACTGTTCAAAATATATGAAAAGGCAGAAGATCATCATCATCACCACCTTCAGTCCAAACTCAGCAGATAACAAGCAATTAATATCCGGGCAAATCCAATTACTACATACATAGCTGGAACAGTGAAGTCAAGCAGAACTAAAAGCCTTTCATAGGAAGATCAGAAAAATAATCGCAATGAATCATGCCCTGCCTCCACGCAGCAATGTTGATAGACTCTACTTACCAATGGGCACAGGTGGCTGTGGAATGTTGCAAATAATTGAAGAGAAAGAAGAAAATATATTGGAAGACTATCTGAAGGACAATGAATCTGATTCCCTGAGACTAGTACACCATGATGGCTTATTGAGAACGAGACCAACCCTTAAGCACTAGTGAATATAAGGATTGAGAAGACAGCAAAAGAAAGCAAATTCCTCTAAAAAGAAGCTGAAGAAACAGTGAGCCACCTAGTTGGTTGCTGTAAAAAGACCATGCAGATGGATTACAAACAATGACACAAAAAAGCACCAACAATGGTACATTGAAATACCGAAAAGAAACACCACTTGCCTACAAGCAAGAACTGATGGGACTACCAATGGACAAAGAAATAGAAAATGAAGTAGCTAAAGTATTCTGGGACTTTAGAATTGAAACATAAGAAAGACAAAAAATAACCCTCTGGTACTAGAGACAGCAAAATAGAAGAGGAAGAACTCGAGAAAATAGAAAACAATAAAAAAATGAGCAAATGGAATTAGAACAACTGCGGCAAAAGAAAGCAAAGGAAGTAGCAACCGTAACAGGCACCTTGGTTTCAACCCCAAAACATCTGGAGCACCACTTGAGCACTGACAAAATCACCATCAGTCAATTGCAAAAAGCAACTCTACATAGAACATGCGATGATACCTTTAACATCATCACACGTTCAGATCCTTAGGAAGGACTTGATAGGTGGATAAAGGGCCAAATCCAGTCCAAACATTTGGCTGATGGTGTGATGAACCATAATAATAATAATAATAATAATAATAATAATAATAATAATAATAATAATAATAATAATAGTAGTAGTAGTAGTAGTAGTAGTAGTAGTAGTAGTAGACATTGCAATACCAGGGGATAGCAGGGTCGCCGAGAAGGAACATGAAAAAATCGCAAAATGCCAGGACTTAAAAATCGAAATTCAACGACTATGGCACAAACCAGCAGAGGTAATTCCAGTGGTAATCGGTACATTGGGTGCTATTCCAAAAGCACTGGAATTACATTTAAAACA